AAATCACTTTAATCTACCTCCTGTTCTAAACAAGACAGTTTTGTGCCTATTTACTCCAACCTCCAAGATACAGTGTAATTAACATAAGTACTAAGATAAGAACAGTTGAAAAACTATGTGTAAGAAGGGCCATTTATCCACATACACACATCCCACCACGTATGCTGGTACAAACAGATGAACCACCTGTAAAACAACAAGTACACCTAATATGATATACTACAAGTATTCCCAGCCTGTTACCTGCAAGACCCTGAGGAATACACTGAACCTCACATTTCCAACATGGAAACAAGGGTAGTGATCCACATCACACAGGAAACTGCAAGAAACAACTCTGCCACTGTATGATGAAAACCAGCAAGTAAATGCCAAGCTTTTACCCCAAGTCATTTGGGTGTTCAAGATTCCAGCATGAGCTAACAAACCATAAGGTTTTTATGGATTTAAAGCAAAAAGGGATTAAGAAAAGGCAACTTGAAGAGGTAACACCAGCACCAAGCCCAGTCCCTCGCTGTTGAGCCTCTGCTGATGACTATCTTCCTTATCAAGCGATCATCTGCCCAGCACTGCCAGTCTGCCCGGCTCCCAAGGGATGCAGTGCTTACTCCAGCTTGAATTTGCTGCTGCCTGCTAATCCCTGGTGGTGCTAATTACACCCATTATCAGCTTGTCCGACTGTGCCTGACACATGTCCAGTACCCAAACCTGCAGCACCATAGGATGTCAAGCCCCCGTCAGATCTGCATGGGAACAGGACGCTTCAAAGCGTGATGCTTTAATACAGCAGGTTTATACATTTATGTGAGATAAACAATGGATTTGCAAGGACTCCAGGACACAGTCTCTATGGCAACTATATGCAGAACTAAGGGGATGGAGGAGGAAGGGAGGGGAAGCTCCTACATTTCTAAATACCCCAACCGGAGAGATGTGAAGTCCATTTTCCAGGGACTGCCTACAGCAGGAACTGCAGGTGAAATGTTCTGCCTAGGTTCACACATGGATGCAAACAAGGTGTAGTTTTAAGCACACCATCCCCATCCAGTTGTATGAAATCCTGCTCCAGGTATATTTGGTAAGGCTGCAGAAATGGTTGCCTTACTATTGAGCTAAGAAGAACTGTATATAGATTACATGTATGCTTGCACATACAGAGATTACACACAAAGATGTTCTGGCCAGTCAAGATTTGGATGGAGAGCCCCAGGGACACCACAACCCCTCCTGAAGGGCACACTTGGCCTTAGGCTTAGCTCAGCCATGCTCCAGCCCAGAGCTGCCAGCTCATCTCAGCACACTGACCACATCAGCCTGAACCTTAATGGCTTTAAATCAGGCCCCACCACTGCTTTAATTTCATTTCCAGCCATTTTTCAAATTCAATTATTAAAAGAGAAAACAAGAAAAATCTAATTAAGGATGGCTTGAGAGGCCCAGCTCAATGTCAGAGTCACTATAGCTGATCCAGCCTCAACCAGCTTCTCCCGCTGAGAGCCAGACCTCAAGAGTCATTATATGCTCGTAGCAAAAAGCATATGATACAAAAATCTGTTGTTTTCATCCACAAAATTTGGATCAAGACAAACCAAATAATGCTGATGCAGCACAGTGGTAATGCTGGAGAAATACTATTGACCTTTGTACAGTGCAGGTGGTTCTACCTTGGTATCTGACTCATTAACAAAGACAGATGAAGAGGAGACATGGCCAAAGAGCCTGTGTTCTACTCTAACCCAAGGAATCCTATTGATGGGCACCATGAGGACATCAGCAGGCTGGCAGCCTTTGAAAAAACAATGTTTTGTCCCCCATAGGAGGCAGCAGCAGATACCATTGTCATCATTTCTGACAAGTTCATGACCTAGAGAGCAGGATTTTAAGGCTTTTATGGTATTCCACCACAAAAGCCTCTTCCATTCCAGAGGCACTGTGACTTGTTACCAAGATATCTGCTGTAAAGGGATGACCTCTGTCTTACTATCATGAAGAATCACATGGGAGAGGTGTGAAGTAAAATCAGTTGTGCAACAGTCACCTACTTTATAGCTCCATCATTATGTCCACATCCAGCCATTAATTCTGATCAGACTTGTGTTCACTAAACAAACCCATACAAGCACATACGCAACTAATGGTTGTAATGCAACTAATGGTGTAGTCCATTAGGAACCTCTCCAGACAGTTTGCTCCTCTGAGGAGCATCAGTGCCAGACTCTGCATTGGAGAGGCCTACAGTGCAAATCCAGACCTGCTGGTGGGCCCCCTAAGACCTGTCACTACTGCATGGAGAAGCTGAGTAATTCTGGTGTCACCCTGGTATTTTACATGCCTGACGCTATAATCTAAAATATCATCATCTAAAAGTCATGTGCTGAGCAATTATAACCTCAAAATGAAACAAATAATCCATTTTTAGTGGAGTTATTCACTTGAGGAAGAACAGAACAGAGCAATCTTATTAGCAAACGGAATGAAAGGCCCCAGTAACCGATCTCCAACTATAGCAATATGCTCAACACATCCGGAATAACTGAGTTTCCAGTCAGATTAATTGCAGAGTGAACCACCAGAACATAAGCAGACCAAAAAATATTAGGTACAGGAGACAGCAGGGAAAGAGCTAGAAGCGCAGACAGGCATTTCATTCTTGTTCATGTGCCCTGTCAACGCTGAAACTGGGGCACTTCAAATCCTCAGTGAGTTTGTGTCCCAACACATCCTTAGGGAAAGACTGAGATGATCACAAAAGCCTCACGTCAGACAAAAAACCAATCAAAACAAACAAACCCATCCTTTAAAAGTCAAGTGAAAATGTGCCTGTGTTTGCCTGAAAGGACATTCCTGGCCCTGGGAGTGGTGCACTGATGACCTCACCCAGCTGCAGACTCAGGCCAGGAAGTGTTTTGCTCATGTCTTCAAAATAGGAAGTTGGCATCCGAGCCATAGTCCTCAGCATCAGTAACCAAATTCAGACTAATAACACCAATTCTCTTATCATCAAAACGCAACGTGGGGCTTTAATGAGCCATTTTATGAAGCCACCATTAAAGCCCAATGTTGAACATGATGCAGGGAGTGGTTACTGAGGGCAGAGCTCTCAGCAGCCTTCGCTGCATCGCTCCGGAAAGCTGCTATTTTACCCTTCTGTGCATTCCTCCTCATTGCCATTACACTGAATCTCTGCCTTGCGCTTGGAGTGCATCCCAGAAGTGACAGATGCAATAAGCACGAAGATTTCACTTGAAAAAAGCCAATGATGTTTGAAAAGGCAGCTCACTAGAAGGCAGAGTCATGCCAACAGAGAGACACAAACGCTGATTAAAGCAATCTGTATGCAAGTGACCATTGAAAAATTACTGTTATGAAGCGCTCTGTTAAAACAAACACGAAGTAAATGCTCCCTGACAGGCACCCCGGTGCGTCGGGTCTTCCTCTGGCTACTGAAAATACTCCAAACATATACACAAACCAAACACACATCGACTTTATCGCAACAGTATTTGATCTTCTACCTTTGTGTACACCGTTTTAGCAAACGGGAGTATTAGCTGCAATAACACGTCTCGGGGAGTTCACAGCCATCTGGTTTCTCCCCCTCCTTGAGCAGAAAGGAGGATTCAATGCTTGGTATTCAAATGAGAATCAAATCTATCCTCTCCTGCCTCGCACACGAGGTACCCGCTGCTTTCTGTAACCATCACACATAGGAACACGCTTCTCGCCGTGCCAGTTCACACCATTTTCCCACACTCACAGCAGGCACTGAGCTTCCCTCCTGCACATGCTTACAGAGGCGAGAGTCAGGGAATCAGGATACAGCCTGGCCTAAAATTAGACCCGAATCTGTATCAGCAAACTGAAAAACCAGCCACAACCTGGAATGTTCAACACATCCCGCTTCCATTTTGCCAGCATCCTTTGGTCTTGCCTGGACCACTCCACACCTGCATGAACAGATACGCTCAAACACACATGTACGTGGCTCGAGCTACAGCTAGCAAAACCCCCACAGCACTAACGCTATCACTTGGACAATAAAACTGCACCCATCAGTTTTACTTTTGTCTCAGCCACTTTCTAGCCCTTTGGGGGCTTTTTTAGACCCGTCTCCTGTGCAGCCACTGCATCACACTGTACTACAGCTGAACGCTGCACATCAGATGCTTCTCCACGTACCGTGAGTGAGGAAGCGGCTCCTTTCACAGAGCTCAGACAAGCACAGACCTTTACATTCCGGCCTTTGACACATCGCTATTCAAACAACGTGGCTTTCTGCGGAGAAAAACAAAGCCTGGGAACACGTCAGAGAGCCCAGGACTCCGCACACATCCCCCGAGCAGACTCGGAGGAGCCACCGGTAACGGTGTGACACGCACCCGGTCAACGGGAGCCTAAAGACAAACCCCAAAGCTAAACCCTCCGGTCATCTTTTGTCCTCTGCAGCGCTACCCACGGTGCCAGCGGGCTCGCGGCGCTCCGGGGCCGCACGCACACGCCGGTGCCATCGAGCCGGAGCTGCGGCGCCATGGAAGGAACAAGAGAGGGGAAAAAGCCCAGCGAGACCCAAGCGGAACAAAGGCGGGCGCGGGGCTGCGGCGGGCATCAGGTGCCGGCGCGCAGGGGCGGCCCCGCCGCCGGGGAGCCGCGCCCCGGCCATGCCCCGCCGCCGACCCGCGCCCCCCGCCCGGATGCCGGCCCCGGGGCTCTCCGCTGCCGCGCACGGAGGAGAGCGGGGGGGAAGGAGCCCCGGGCGGAGCGCGGAGCCCAACCGCGGCGAGGAGCGCGCTCCCTCCCGCAGGCCCGGGCGCTGACAGCGGCCGCCGCCTCAGAAAGGGCTCGGCGGGTGCAGCCGCGCAGGAAGCGCCCGCACTAACGCCCGCCCCGGCTCGGCTCGGTTCAGTTCGGCCCGGCCCGGAGCCCTCCCACGGGCACCGCCGCCTCCCCGCTGCCCTCCCACCACCACCACCGCCGCCCGGGGCCCCCGCCGCGCCGCGCACCGCGATCCCGAGCCGCGTCCCCGTGTCCGCTCCTCAGCCCGGCGGAGCCGCCTCCGCCGCCTGCCGCCGCCGCCCGACTGAGCGCCGCGGCCCGGGGCGGGGCTGACGCAAAGCCCCGCCTCCCATTGGCCCCGCCTCCGGGATGGCCACGCCTATCGGCTTCGGGAGGGGGCGGGGCCGCTCTGTGACTGGCAGCTCGTCCAGCCAATGGCCGCGCGGCGCTCGCCCATGCGTGGTTGCGCGCTCTCGCTCTTGCCCGTCTCCCACCGTGGGGCTCGCAGCCGGTCTCAGTCCCCTCTCCGCGCCCGGTTCCCGTTATCCGGTTCCCGTTATCCGGTTCCCGTTATCCGGTTCCCCTGGCTCAGAGCCTCTTCCCTCCCAGCAGGGATGATGCAGTCCCGCTGTGCGCACCCGGGTGATGGGGGGCACTATGGCCGCGGAGGTGATACCTGCGAGCGGTGATGGAGGCACAGCCCCACCATGAGCTGAGCGCCACAGAGCGCACGGGTCTGGCCCAAAAACCGCCTCGTCCTGGGCCGGTCGGTGCGGCTTGGCAGCGAGAGGGTGACAGGAGGGGAGGGCGAGCCCCTGCTAAACCCACGCCGCAATGGATGTCGTGGTTTAAGGTTTAACCCCCAGGACAGGAGCTTGAAACCAAAGATTCCCCCCCCCCACCATTGCAGCAGCCGCTGTTGGGGGATGCCGGATAATGTGGTTGTAAGGAGGGGGTTTGCCTCTGCTGCTCGATTGAAGAGGGCGATGGGTGCCTTGAGGCACACAGGGCAGTGTCGCAGGGAGATGCCATTTGCAGGGCAATGGCACCCGCAGGGCAATGGCAGCGACAAGGCAATGGCCACCCGCAGGGCAACGGCAGTGGCAGGGCAATAGCAGAGACAAGGCAATGGCACTCGCAGGGCAATGGCAGCGGCAGGACAATGGCAATGGCACCCGCAGGGCAATGGCACTCGCAGGGCAATGGCAGCGGCAGGACAATGGCAATGGCAGTAGCAGGGCAATGGCAGGGCAATGGCAATGGCAGGGCAATGGCAATGGCAGTGGCAGGGCAGTGGCAGGGCAATGGCAATGGCAGTGGCAGGGCAATGGCAGGGCAATGGCAATGGCAGGGCAATGGCAATGGCAGTGGCAGGGCAGTGGCAGGGCAATGGCAATGGCAATGGCAGTGGCAGGGCAATGGCAATGGCAGTGGCAGGGCAATGGCAATGGCAGTGGCAGGGCAGTGGCAGGGCAATGCCCCCCGCAGGCTGCGCGTTTCAGTTCCTCACTGCGCGGAGCGGTGCTCGCGCAGTGTTTACCATACATGGCCAAAACCAAACGCTGCTGCGGCTTCCTCATGCGTTTAGGCCAACGCTGGCGAGCTCCTTTGCATGCGGTTGGGTGCTGGGGGGGGAGTCTGGTTCTTCAGGGCAGCCACAAACCCGCCCCTGCCCTTACAGTGCTCAGGGCTGGGGGATACAGGGAGGTTGTGATGCGCTGAGCTGCAAACGCCTCCTCTTGCCCCAGGGCGTGTGAACTGCCCCCTGTTAAGTGAGAGGCGGGTGTGAAAGCCTCCTGGAGGTACCCTTGTCCTGGTCCCGCATTCCAGCTGATGGGAACATCAGGCAGGCACCGATTAAACGAACCAATATCATCCAGCGCTGCTTAAACCTTGGCACCGCTTTAACCCCCGATTCAACAAGCAGGAAAGTCTCTTACGTGCTAAGCAACACCTTGATAAAGGAATATTCTACACCCAAAGATTAGAGCTGCAATCTGCATCCCTGCCCTGCACCGCCAATGACTGCAACATTAACACCTTGCTTCCACCAGCCAGGGATTTACTCCCCACCTGCCTCCCTCAAACCATCTCTTTCAGGCTAAGGAAGCAGAAAGGCAGCAGCAGAGGGGCTGCCTGGAGCAGGCAGCCTGCAGTGTAGTGGGTTTAGATCGTGATTCAGACTTTCCACGTAGGTACGTGGCTTGCTGAAGGTCACACAATGAGTCAGTGATAGAGCTGAGCTGATTGCCAGCCCCACAGCCCTTGATTTAGAGGAGCTCCTGTGCGTGTGGCTTCAAACTTCGTGAAAGGCTATTAATATGAGCATAGAAAATGGTACCTAAAATGTGTGTATGTGTAGCTCCTTCTAGCTCAAAGCAGCGGGTGGGCATGAAGTGATGTTTTAGCATGGACTGAAAAACAGCAGCGAAAGCAGCAGTATCGGTGCTACCCAATAGCTTGGAAAAGAAACCAGAGGAGGTTTCTGGCATCCCTTTAAACAGGGTGATGCACACAGGACACGAAGTGCAATTTGTCCTCAGAAATCTGCTTGAAGCCTAATTTGATAACAGCCACCCAAGCGGCTGGTCCCTGCTTCACATCATCACTGCAGGGATGACGCTCCTGCGGCACAGCTTGCTCCATATGGCACCGGAAGAGTCACCAAGGGTGGGCTCAGAAGGAAACGATACCTTTAGAGTATTCACTACTGCTTCCTTCAACAAATGGAGGGAAATGCTCCAAAGATCCCTCAGATCCCGACCTGGACCAATGAGTCATTAAGTCACAACAGCTCCTGACCTGGATCAATGAGCCGTTTAGATCACAACAGCTCGCCATGCGAAAAGGCATGAGTTTCAGGCTGCAACCTTCAGCAACAGAAGGAATGGGCACGGTTTTCCACGCGCTCTTTGGCCCCACAGTGAGCCCTGATCTTCCTCCCTTCAGCCGGATCAAACCCCACCAAACAGGACTCCAGTGGCAGCCGGCGGGAGGCAAGCTTAGCCACTTGTCAAAATACATCACAAACACTAATCCCGGTGAAGGAAAACACCCTGTTACCGAGCCCTTGCACCAACAAGAACCGCACAGTAAAGTTTGGCCTCCTCTTTGCTCAGCCCCTACACGCCTGCTTATGCTGCTTTGCGGAGAGCACTGATCCCGGAGCACGTTTGGCTGGTTTCAGCCATCCCACATATTTTCCCCTCGGCTCCATCGACGCACGACTGCTGCGAAGCATCCATCTCGCAGCCTTTATACGGAAACAGCACCGTGCCTGCAGGCTCCACCTCTGAAACTTATGTCAGCAGCTAAATTTAGCTGCCTTGCATCGCTTCCATCGCTGCAATGAAGCGCTCTGGTTTGCTCCCGCGATGATCTTGACGTACCTTGTGAGTAAAGCGCTCAATAGGGCCCCAAGCTTCCCTTGCCAGCATGGAGTTATTGGTTAGAAAGGGTAAAGAAGGCTGCAGGCACCTGAGGCACCTCTTCCTACATGCAATGGCGATGGTTTCCCTGGCCTTCAGCTGAGATGATGCAATTTGGCTTGTGGTCCCTGAGCCGCCTTAGACAGACGACAGAGCCACTCGCTCAGAACCAGTGAAGTCACTTGAGGGGTGAATTCACCTCCAACATTTCACTTTGCTTTAAATCCTCATTGCTAAATGTATTCTGAATGAAGGGAAACGGCTTACGGAGGGTTTAGAGGGAGCAGCAGTTTAAAGGCCTGTTCTTTTGCAGCTTAACTTCTAAGTCATGCCGAATATGCCAGATGTGACAGGTTGTGTTTTGGACATTGGGTTTGCAGACATCAAATTATACCGCTTTTAAAGGACATTTATGCCCACTATAGATCTGTCCATTCCTTGAAGCCTTTTAACAGCCTGGAGTAGAGAAGGGGAGACCTTGGAGCAGCTCCGGTGCCTAAAGGGGCTACAAGGAACCTGGAGAGGGGCTTTGGGCAAGGGCCTGTAGGGACAGGAGAAGGGGAACGGCTTTAACCTGCCAGAGGGGAGGCTGAGATGAGCTCTGAGGCAGAAGCTCTTCCCTGTGAGGGTGCTGAGGCGCTGGCACAGGGTGCCCAGAGAAGCTGTGGCTGCCCCATCCCTGGCAGCGCTCAAGGACACAGGGGCTTGGAGCAAGCTGCTCCAGTGGAAGGGGTCCCTGGATGGGCTTTAAGGTCCCTTCCAACCCACACCAGTCAAGTATGCTCATCATAGTGCTTCCTTATGGCTCTCACAATTTAGATGCACAAGGGCAGACCCTGCCGTGCTGAAGAGCTGCTCCCGGTGCAATCAGGGATGTGCTCTTACATTTCACTTTACATTGCTGCAATGCTGAACTGATTGCAATGAAAAGAAAGGAAACAAACCCAAGCCATTCTCTGTGTGGAATAGCATTGGGGTTACCCTTTCTGCCTTGTTTCCTTCATGTCCATCGGGCACCCATGGACCAGCAAGGGCAGCTTTATTAAACTGCTGACAAGCCTGGGGTTTAAGGGGCATTTCAGTGATGAAACACCAAGACAAAGCTGTACCAACAGCCACCACCTAAGAGCTCCTGACTGTGGTGAATCAGGTCTGTTGCTTAGGCAGGATTGCACGGGCTGCCCTGGGCTGCTCTCTTCCCAGCTCCAGCACAGTGCTCCTATGGAGAGGGAGGGAGAACAAAACCCGTTTGCTTTGGCCTCATTCAGCCCTTGGCCAGAAAGGGGAGCTGTAGAATTATGGAATGAAGATAAGGGGAGCAGTATGTTCCATCAGGTTTTAACACAAGAGCCAGGAAGGGAGAAGTGTGTGAGGGTGCATCAGCATGTGGGAAGGGGGAATGTGTATTAAAGCAGCAGGTTAGGACTCAGCATCCCATGGTTTTAGCCCCGGGTCTGCCCATCCTTTCTGCGTGGCATAGAACAAATCCCTGTGCTACTTCCAGACCTGGTAAATGGGGATCAGAACAACAGCCCCCAGCCCAAAGGGTGACGGGAATGTGCTGCAGTGGGCAAGCACTGAGGATGACACAGTCTGTGCGCTGCTTGGAATGGGTGGAGGATGCTGGGGTTTGGTAGATAACAATAAGTGAACATTAGGTCATGGTGAGTATCAATAATTGATGCCATTGTTATTAATGATTTACAACAGAGCTCATAAAGCACATTTATTACTGCGCGCACACACTCCTGTGCGGGTTACATGCAGTAATAGATGTCACACACATCCCTTCCCACCCTGCTCTAGGAAAGGCATAGAAATACACAGCAAAAGGAAATGGATGCCCTCATGTCTTTTTCTTCCCCATCACCACACAGGACCATGAAATACAAATCCATTTCCTTGCAGCAAAGGGGAGGTGGTCCCAATGCATCATTAAAACGCTGAGACCCCAAATAAACCCCAAGCAATTCATCGCAACAGATGGGGTTTTCTTTGTTGCTGTCTCCACTACACCCAATGATTAAGGAGGAAGAGAGAGACCAGGAAGCAAACACGAGAAGGTAAAGAGTGAAGAGAGCAAGCTGGATTTTATTTCCACCACGAGCATCCTGGATGGACGCTTCCTATCGCTCTGCATAGCAGAAACACCCACCCAGGCCCCACACAGCGAGTGGGAGCTTTGAGCAGCAGCGTGAGGCTTGGCGCTGTGATTCCTGTGGCGCTCCACGTTACACTTAGCCCATTATCCTAGTCTCGTCCTCATTATTCAACCCGTTTTGAATCCTTTTGCCATCTTGTTCTGTTTCTCTCCCTGAGCAAGCTGGACCAAAGGTGCTGGAAAAATCAGAGGTATAAGAAAGGAATCACATAATGGTAAATGACCGCGAGGTGTTAGTGTTCAGTTAGGCAGGACGAGGATTGGGAAGGTGTGGTTAGGAACAGGTAGAAAAGAGCAGGCTATGCCACAGATGGGGAGCTATTCCTGCTCCTTACAGCAACGTCCTCACAGTTCAGTATTGAAATGGATCGTCTTGACCCTCCCTGCCTGTTTCTGCTGAAGGCCAAGGAGGTGAACATCTGTCAGGAGTGATTTAACTAGAACTGGGGACTGCCTTAGTGCCTTCTCCTCTTGTCTAAGATCACCCCCTGCATCCCCCCGCTCCTCCTGGGCAGGATGCTGAGGAGGACATCCCTGCCTGATGCCCCTGATGAAGCCACTCCACATCAGCTGCACCACTCGAGGAGGAGCACGGAGCCTGCCTGCATGCAGACACCCTGACAGCACCCGTGCAAGCTTCCCATCCCACCCCTGAGTCTGCCCGGTGGCACAGCCTGCCCTGACACCATGCACATCCCTATCTCCGCATCACCGGAACGACAACGCGCCTTCAGGTGCTTCCCGAGCGGATGGGGCCTGCTTTGCACCGCTGGGGGGCTTTTTGTTAGCACACAAACGCTGTGGCAATGTTCATTTTCTGACCTGGTTTCGTGCCTGCTGTGAATGAGAGCAATCGAGAGCACCACGGACCGAGCCCCGGGGGCGGATCGCACCCAGCGCGGAACTGAACACGCTATCGAGCCCCAAACCAGCACCGGTTTCCTGTGCCTTAAAACATCTATTTTCCCTTATAAGGCAAACCCCAGCTGCAGATTGTCAATGAGCAGAAGGTGAGCATTCACCAGCGTGGGGCTGAGCTGTGCCGGCGATGCCAAACTCCGACCGACCGCTTCCCATCGCTCCCTGTTGCTGCAGAGCCCCTGCCTGACCAGGGAACGTCAGGGCAGTGAAAGGGCTTCCGAGCTGGTGGCGTTCTCCTGGAAGGTTTGCTCAGCTCAGTCACGGTGCAGGGGAAGGAGAACGTCAAGGGCATGATGCCTCCTGCTCGTGCCAGAGCTGAAAGCACGTCTATCGGCCCACCCAATGCCTGGAGAGGCACACAGCATGACAGAAAGCATCATAAGGGCACTTTGGCACTGCACCTATTGATGCCAAGCAGTGTAGGTGTTATGAATAGTGAACTGATAGGTACAGGAGAGGCTTAAAAAGCAAATCTTTCTCCTAACACAGCGCCCCTGCACAAACCACTTCCACCGAGCAGAAGTAAAGTGGATTAACTCCCGATTCTCCTCCGGCCTCATCCCAATCACAGGTTGCTGAACGTGCACATCCCATCGGTTACACAAGGCACCTCTGCTCTGAGAACCCTCCAACCACCGTGCACCCCTTGCCCGCAGCCCTGCCCCGGGTCCCCACGGTCCCCATTGAGAGCCGAGCCCTCACCCCTCACCTTTCCTGGCCACGCCGGGCACCGGCGCCTTCCCCTTGGGCTTCTCGAAGGCCTTCTTGGCATCAGCAACTTTGAGCACGTTCTCATCCTCCTCCTCCTGCCTCCTCCTGCCCCCCGCTGCCCCCTGCCCCCGGGCAGGCTCCGGCACCACGGCAGCACCGCGGGGCTCCAGCAGCGCCTCCGTCATGGCCAGGGCCCTGCTCATGCTCAGGGCCAGGCTGTCCCTGCTGTGCGACCGGACAGGAGGGGCCGGGGGGGTCTTCCTGGGGCTGCGAGCATCGGGGACCGCGGCATCAGCTTCCCCTGCGAGCTGCTCCAGGAGCTGGGGGCTGCTCTGCCTCGAGAGCCTCGCGTTGTCGACAGCGGCCGGAGCGCAGTCCGCAGGAGCGGGGAGCATCCCCTGCAGGCCCCTGTCTCCGTGCTTCCAGGCCGGATCATCCTCCCCGTTCTGGAACGGGTCGGGAGCACCGTCAGGATGGAGGGCGAAGCTCATCGCCTGCCTGAAGCTTTCAGCCGCTTTGCTGCTCTCTCTGGGGACATAAGGAGGAGACGCGGTCGCCTCCTGCTTGCTCTGCAGGATGTAATCCATGAGCAGGGCGTTCCGCTCGAAGCTGTCTGACCTGATGGGGACACTCGGCTTGTGCCCCCCCGAGGGACAGTTCAGGGCCGCTTGGTTCACTTGCCTGCTCTCCGCGCTGCTCTCCGAGTCCGAGCGGCTCCTTTCCCTCCTCAGGGCAACTTGGGAAGCGTGGAGCCTGCTTAGGCTCGGGCTCGCCACGTTCCCATCCCCTGGGTACCCCTCCTGCATCACGGCCCCCCAGTGCTCCATCGCTTCCCATTCCTCCTCAGGTTCTGCTTCTGCCTCCTCCATGAGGCGCCGGTATTCGCTCTCCTCCAGCCTGTACACCACCGGCTTCACCGTCCTGCCCATGTGCCTGTGCCCGACCTCCAGCTCATAAACCTTCGGGGGGGCTTCTCCTCGCTCTCCTGACACGGGGTTATCCAAGCGCAGCTCCCACTGCTCTCTCCTGCTCATCCTGGCTTGCGCCTCGCTCCGGGGGTCGGGAAGGTGCCTGTGCCCCGGGCCCTCCTGCAGGTTACAGCCTTCCCGGGAAGCGGCGCGGTCCCTGCCCCTCTCCTGACGTGTGTCATCCCGCAAGCATCCACAGTGCTGCCAGGTGGAGGCTTCCATGGCCGGGGGCTCAGTGCCCGCAATCCCTGCTCCCAGCGCGCCGGAGCCGTCCAGCCCGGATCCCTTCCCACCTTGGCTCTCAGCACCGCCTTCCTTCTCCCTGCTCCGCTACTGGGAGAGCCGGAGGCAGCTTGGAAGCCTCCGTGCCTGGGTCACGGGAAGCGGCGCCTCTCAGCCTCATGCCCAGCCGAGATGGATGCGCGCACTGGGGCGATGGAGCCCATCCTCCGCAGGGTGCTTCCAGAGCTGATGCTGCGCTGGTCCCTATCCGGTCAATCCCACCTTGAAAAGCTCCCTCCAGCTTCTAACCTGCTGCTCCGGGGCACTTCACAGGCAGGATCTGGCTCTGCAGCCGCACGGACGCTCCGCTCCTCTCCTCCCCAGCCTGCTCCAGCAATGACTCCACTCCCCCCCCCGGTCCCGCTCGATCCTCCCCGGCTTCCCTGCGCTCCGCTCCCGCTGCTCCCCGAGCGGTTCCGTGCCAGGCCTGGGCAGGACCACGTCCGTCAGCTCCTCCGAGCAGAGCTTGGAAACCCGCACCCGTGCCCCTGGCACCGCTCCCTGCCCGGCGGCTCCTTCCTTGGAAGCAGCCGCAGCCTTGGGCTGCGTCCCAGTGCTTGGGGAGAGACAGAGCCTGCAGCGAGCCCGCGGGGACCGGCCGGGATGGGTCCCTGGGGATGCGCCAGTGCTCAGGGCACCGCTGCGGCACAGGGGAGAGCAGCCGGGACAAACCGAGCCCGGGAACGGGGAGTCCCTGGCTTCTCCCCCATGGGTGCTCTGGGTGCTCCTCTGCGCATCCCTCCTCCCGCCGGGGGATGCTGCTGCCAAACGGGCTCCCGTGGGGGGGGAGCCGAGGGCTCTGATCCGTTTATACACAGCGGGATGCCTGGAATTGCACGGGCCGAGCGGCTCCCACCCGGCAGCTCTTCCCAGCGCTTTGCCTTTTATGGTGCACGAGGTGCCGAGCCTGAGCCGGGGCAGCATCCCGGCCCGGGATACAGGGAAGCACCTACATGGGCCCTATGGGGAGGCCGGGGGCTGCTGCACCCCAGTGTCAGCCCAAACAGGCCCCGAGCATCCCACTGACACCTGGGGCTGGAAAATCCTCATCCGGAGCCCCCGGGGATGCAGCATCACTGGGAACACGGCCGACGCTCGCACGGCTGCATGGATTGAACCCGGACCGCAGTCTCCCATGATGCCATCACCTCATCCCTGCTCCAATGGGAAGGAGCAAGGGATGAGCCCGGGAGCCAGGCTGGGATGGGGTTCATGGATGCACATTGCAGAGCTGCTCCAGGGCAGTGAAACACCTTCTGTTACCGCTGCAGGGTTTAAACCCCTGCGGAGGCTGCCCCCAGCCCCATGGGGTGAACCTGCCCCGATTCCAGGCTCTTCCCATTGAGCCAGCACCGAACCCAGTCTGGGAGCCGCGGTTTGGGGATATCACCTCCTGCCTTGCCCTTGACGTGCTCCCAGCGCTGCAGGGAGCTGCAGTTTGGCCCTGCCGAGCTCTGCTTCCCTGGGAGCTGCTTATTTAACACTCGGGACAGCCCGACAGGGACCGGCAGCTCCTGCACCCGCTGCATAAAAGGCGATGGCAGCTGCTGCAGGCACCGGCGCCGCATCCCTCACACCAGACAGGAAGAGACTTTTAGGGAAGAGGAGGGCAAGGGCTGAGGCTGGCGCAAACCCGGATGCTCCCGGTGCCACTGCAGGCACTGAAGTGCAGCACCAGCCCTTTGCATCCTTCATAGAACCAGGCTGGGATGGGTTGAAGGGACCTTAAAGCTGCTCCAGCTCCAACCCCTGCCACAGGCAGGGACCCCTTCCACTGGAGCAGCTTGCTCCAAGCCCCTGTGTCCAACCTGGCCTTGAGCACTGCCAGGGATGGGGCAGCCACAGCTTCTCTGGGCGCATCACTTTGTTCACCCAAACCAGCCAAACCCCATCTGTTCCCCCCCAGTGACAGCACCACAACCCTTGCTCACCCCTGCGCTCATCCAACCCCAATGTGAAGCCAGGAAACCATCCTGCTCCCATCAGGGACACAGAATGGACTTGGAGGCTCACTGAGGGGATCACCCCTTGCAGCTGCTCTGTGGGGCAGGCAAGGTGAGGGGCTGGGCTGGATCTCCCATCTTCCCATCACCCCATGGCCCAATGGGACAGCCCCCAGTGCTGGCTGCCCCAGCACCAGATGCCCATGGAAGCGTCAGGCTCCAGCATCTCCCTCCACCACCGAGGCTATAAATAACCCCTCCGAGAGACCTCGTGTTGCTCCCGCTGTTGTGGTGTTGCCATGGCAAAGCCAGGCAACAGGATGTGACACCCGGCTCCACCAAGAGCCAGCCTCAACCGTAACAAGGAGAGAGGACGTGAACTCACCGGCAGCCACAGGCACCCCCGGCCATCGCGTGGTCCTCAGTGCGTGACCTCCTGCAGCTCTGGGGATGCAGATGTGGGGGGAGATGCTTTGATGAGCAGAGAGGGCATCGTCCTGAGCATCACCGGGGAGAAGTGAATGCGAGGAGCTCACAGCAAGGCTCCAGGACTCCAGGCTCCAGGACTGACTGATCCAAGGGCCTCGGGAACACGCTGCAGCCGGGTCGCTGCTGTCTGCCTGAGCCTGAGCCCTGGTGCGAGGCTCAGCACAAGCTCCAGCCCTGCTGGGGTGAACCCCCACGGGGTAAGGCTGGGAGCACGCACCCCTCCCCTGCTCTCCATCACGTCGCAGCCTCAATGCACATCCGGGCAGCTCTGGAAGGCCCTGACACGAAGCCAGGAGCTCCAGCTCAATGCAGGGTCTCCATCCTTGCCCAGGGGAGCATCAGACACCAGCTCCAGCTCCCGCAGCAGGAACCTGCCCGTGCGGCTCCAGACCCTGCTCCCGCATCGGGGGCAGAGCCGCAGCTGCACCAGGGATGCTGTTGGGTGTAAACCCACCCAACCCTGCACAAACCCACCCCAGGGCTCCCTCTCCATCCCCTCCAGGCTGTTTTCCCAGCTGGGGACCTGCTGCCCCTGTGGGTCCCCGCGGGGCTGTGGGTGCAGCCGGAGAGGTGCTGGGGACAGGAGGCACCATCAGCCACACGTGGTGCCCCAGTGATGGTGCCAAATCCAAGCCAGATCAACCCCAACCGCCCCGAACCCCACCAGTGCTGGTGGGGTAAATGACTCCTTGAGGCAAGGGGCTGCCAAGGGAAACACGGACACGTTCCTGCCCGGAGCAGCTCCGAGCAGGAGCAATCCCCCCAGCACCAGGCTCCGGAGGCAGATGCTCAGTTTGCCTTTAAAGGCAAAACGTGGATGCCCGGGAAGGGCTGGTCCCAGCTCGGGTGCATCCCGGAGCAGCAGCATGGGGCAAAGCGCCGCATCCCAGGGTTTAGCTCTTGGCTTTCCCACTGGGAACGTGAGCAGAGCGGGGCTGCGGGAATTAACCCCTCCTGTCCCTGTGGCCCTCTCCAAACCAGCACTGTTCCATGTGCCACAGGCAGGGCTCAGCATGGAGCAGGCAGTCAGAACGGGAGCAGCTTCTCCTCAGCCCCATCCTGGGCTCTCCCCTAGGTGGGACTCGCACGTTCCAGTTGCACTCCTGCCTCCAGGAACCGTGTATCCCGATTTCATTCCCTTCTTTCCCCCCTTATAAAACCCCCCTGCGTGACCCTGTGCCACAGCTCGGGTGCATTTCCAGTGCTCGCCATCCCAGCGAGGCAGCTGCACTGCAAGGACACAGCCGAGAGGGACAAGGGACAAAGGCACCTCCTGACCCGGCCTTCAGGGTGACAGAGAACAGCCGGGACCCCAGCAATGGGACCGGATGGGAGGAGAGGACACGGGAAGAGCGGCGGCTGCTGCTGGGAGCACGCGGGGTCCGTTCGGTCCTTCCCACGTCCCCAAGCGC